GTATCGGTATTCGCGAGGTGAGTTATCCTCACTATATCAACAGGGTCTAAGGCACAAAGGCCGACCCTTTATTTGGATTGAGATTCGGATATGGTTATTATGTTATTGTTTGATATGTCTGTATCCTGGTAGCTAGGATGGTATATGCTAGAGACCTGGTTAAGGTCGGTTTCCCGATATATAGAGTGATGCTATGCTAGTGACTGGTTAGGTCGGTAACCTGGTTAGGGTAATGATATGTTATGTGATCTGCTTGATCGGTTTGTTGACTATGACTGTTATATGATTGTATGTATGTGCACATGGTTGTTTGGACTGGAGATGGGTTGAGGCGGGTCCTGCTTTGTGTTGTAGGCCAAGATACCCAGGGCGGACCGGTTATTCCGAAGGCCCAGCGAGCGGTCCGGATAGGCTGTAGGCCCCACGAGGGCGGACCAGACATGCCGAGGCTCGGAGAGTGGACCAGGCCGACTGAAGGCCCGATGCGGGCGGACCAGTCATACTGTAGACTCAGAGAGTGGACCAGGTGGGTTGAAGGCCCAGTGCGGGCGGACCAACCACACTGTAGACTCGAAGGACATGTCTAGACTCGGAGGGTGGATTCGGTGGACTGAAGGCCCGATACGGCGGACCAGTCACACAGTAAACCCAATATGCATGACTGTTCTATGTTCTGTTATGTTATGTATGCTTTTTATGTTATGGGCCGGAAGTTAATATGTTTTGGACCGGAAGGTCGTAGCCTGGAAGGGCGTATATGTGGTTGGTATTTTGGGGGAATCTCACTAAGTTTATGTTTTATGAAATGGATCTGGGAATACTCTGATAAATAATGTATTGAAAACCTTTTTGTAATAATGTTATTAAAATGGATTGTTTTGAAAAGTTTAAATTATGTTGAAATTTTTGGTCGTTACACAACCAATGGTTGTGTTGTAGGCGATGGGGTGTTGGTTGTTTGTTGCATCGAAGCAAAAGTAGGGAAAACATTTTGTTGTAAATTTAGGTTTTGACCAAATAAATTTTGGTGAAGGTAAGGTGAGTTGGGAAATTGCAGTGACGATGAAGCGAGATTGAAAGCGACGCCTTGGTATGAGATTTGTGGTGATCCTTGAGACGATAAAAGATTGAAATAATTTTTATAACCCGCAAATCCGAGAGGCCTGTTTTGTTTCGTTGTGTGTTTGGGTTTTATGATAGAAGGGGGGGGGGGGGTTGGGTTTTGCTCTATTTTTTAAAAATTTAAAGAAAGTATGTGTATAAGATATAGAGAGAATGAGTGAAAGGTTTAAAAAAATGGGTTAAAAACAGTATTTATAAAGATAAAAAAGTAATTTTTTTTAATTTAAGTTTTGACCGTTTGCAAACGGTCGAGTAACTAAACGTTCAAATTTTCACCCATTTCAGTGGTAATGACCACGAGTGATGCAATAACGAGATGCAACGAGGAGGAGGGAGGGGGGGGGGGGGGTTTCCGCGTTACAACATCTGAAACGACCCAAAAATCACGACCAAAAAAATATTTCTTTAAAAGCATTACTAGAATCATATTTATAAAAACTGTATCATAAGTCATAACATAAATTCTCGAGTATTAATTCAAAACATAATATCATTATCAGAGTCAAACATTCCCAGGCTAACTGACTATGGTGTGTGCACTGCAATCTCCCCGAGCTCCTCTTTTGAAAACTGAGTACCTGAAACCAAAACTGAAAACCGTAAGCACGAAGCTTAGTGAGCTCCCCCAATCTAACACATACCATACAACAACATATAAAGCACATACTGGGCCTTGCCCACTGCATCGGACCAATGTCCGGACTAACTGGGGCCTTGCCCCTACATCGGACCGAAGTCCGGAAACTGACTGGGACCTTGTCCCCTGCATCGGACCGAAGTCCGGACTAACTAGGGCCTTGCCCCTGCATCGGACCGAAGTCCGGAAACTGACTGGGACCTTGTCCCCTGCATCGGACCGAAGTCCGGGCTAACTGGGGCCTTGCCCCTACATCGGACCGAAGTCCGGAAACTGACTGGGACCTTGTCCCCTGCATCGGACCGAAGTCCGGGCTAACTGACTGAACATAGCATAGCATAACATATCAACTAGCATGAACACATATACTGCATACTACATCGGGCCGTAGCCCGGAACACATAACACATAACACATAAAACATAGCATAAATCCTGTCTGAGCCACGAAGGCATCAAACATACTAACTACTGCATCGGACCGAAGTCCGGAAACTACTGCTAACTGAACGGGCCGGCATTGTGGCCTTAGACCCGTCCCTACTGGAAGGAAACTCACCTGAGACTGCTGAACTGATGCTGCTAATCCTCTTGACTGCTACTTGACCTCTGACTCCGAACTGCTGCTCCACTAACTCTTCGAGCTTCAAAAGCCAATAAAACACTTAGTCCAACTGACCTCCAAAGGTCACTAGGTCAACTCTGGTCAAGGTCAAAATCCTAGTCAATGTCAACCTTCCAGGTCAACCCTACTCGCCGAGTTTACCTACTGACTCGCCGAGTTCCTACGCTCAGGGTCTTTCTTATTCGCGACTCGACTCGCCGAGTCAGTCTATGACTCGCCGAGTCCAACTAGTTCCAAGTCCTGTCCTGTCCAACTCGCTGAGTCACCACCCGACTCACTGATTCGAGTCTCAACTCGAAGGGTTTAGGGTTTCGCGATCTGACTCGCCGAGTCCTAGACAATCTTCAACCAACTCGTCGAGTTGTTCATCCAACTCGCCGAGGCCATGCCTAACTTCATCCGACTCGACGAGCTGCTCATCCTACTCGTCGAGTTCCTCCTCATCTTCAAGCTACTCGCCGAGTCCACTCGAAGGACTCGCCGAGTCTATCCAGTCCTCAATCCATGCAGTGGCTTTTCGAGCCAAACAGAACTTCCAACTCATAGATCCATACTTCTAGGGCCTATTCCCCACGTAAAGTGGCAAACTTTACGTGTAGATTGAGAGATCTATGCTCAAAACATACTAAATTAGGGTTTATGGCAACCATGCTTCTTCAACATACCAAGGGCTGATACTTTAGGGGATTCAAGACCAAAACCAACATGGATCTGAGGTAGCAACCTCAGATCTGAACCTCCAACTCGAATTGGTTACATAACAAACCAACAATGACCAAAACTCACACATAAGAATAGATCTAGATGCAAAGGGAGTCCAAGCAACAGCTTATTACCTCCAATTGTTCTGAAATGACTCCACAATCCCAGATCTACAGTCCCTTCTTACACCTCCAAGGTCTTTCTTCCTCCTCCAAGCTTTAGTGCATTCCTCAAGGCAAGATCTAGCTCAAAAATGGATATGGCGGCTAGGGTTTGGTGTTCTGGGGTAGAGAGGTAGTAAAGGAACCCTAGGAAGGAGAAGGAGACGCTTATATACGCTCCAAGTCCCGAATTTAGGGTTTTCCTCGATCAGACCCAACTCGTTGAGTCTACTTGGCCGACTCGCCGAGTCGGTCGCTTACACCACGACCCGGTTCCCGCTCGGACTCGCCGAATCCCTCCATGGACTCGTCGAGTCTCTCCTTAAAATTGAGGTCTTCTTTCTTTTCTTGACTTTCCAAACTTTGGGGTGTCACAACATCGTTATGGTCTGACACATCAACCCATAACGAGTAACTTTTGACCAATACCGTGGACTTAACACCATTTGAGATACATAGTATTCACATGGCATTTCTATAGCATTTGATGAGTGGTCAAACATGTCTATGTTCAAGTAGGATGCCAAAACCACTTTTAAAACATTGACTAGCTTTTGCTATCAAAACTTTCTAAAACTTGTTTTCATGAATGTAACAAGTATACATATATAAACAACTAGAAATCAAGTCATATAAGAAGCAACTTTTAAAAATATGGAAAGTAGTAAGTAGGGATGTGTGTTCTTTGTAACTCACCTTAATTAAGGTATATAAAAGCTTCTAACTCTAACATTGTTCTTCCTCTTCAAGAATGATTTAGGAACTCAAATATTACCTAAAAGCATCAAAAGGTGTATTGAAATCATATTAAGTGATCCATTAAGTCACTTATTAATCTCTTTCCTAAATCTTAAATTTTATTATTTTAATGTTTTCTTCATGTCAAAACATGAATGTAGGCAATAACTGAGCATGGTTTGGAGTCCGGATAAAAAAGTTAATGCATATTTTATGGATGACCAAATATTTCTCCAGAGAACACTAGCATAACCTATGCATTGCCCAACAGTCCAAAAACATACCAAACTTCATTTCTAATTGTTATTTATACTTTGATATCTAACCTTGAGAACAAACGTTTTTATTTTTTCTTTTTAGCTTTGCTTGAACAAATTTTCTAATTCACGATAAGTGGCTCGTCTATTATTTGCCTTCCGTTAATGAAAATTAAAATATGTATCTCTAGATAGAAAGACTTAAAGTTTTAGATATAACAATCTAGACTTCAAATTTTTGATATCTTGAATGGTGCCGAATAGGTTCTAGAAAATATTGATATAAACTCACCAATTTTGTTGTAATCCGTCCACTTAGGGTATAAAAGTATTTAAACGAAGGTATGCAAAATTAGTATTTACTAATTATTTAAAATATTGAATAACACTTGTTGTAAAAGTTTAAGGGTATTCATGCATACCTTTATTAAACTACAGATCCGCCCCTCAAGCCTAGCATCTTGCTTGCCCTTTGAACAATAGATGCCGGAAAATTTTCGGAAAAGAAAAAAAAAAATTCATAACAAATGTATTAATTTGGATTTGACTAAGTATATATGCACTAAAAAGTTTCACGAAAGGACACGTGTAGGGTAGTTGTACGACCAGATTTGTTATTGTTAATTGACCGTACGTGTTTCATGGGTATACTGTATTTGTGACCTCTCATCCACTGAAGCTGTGTAGCTATAAAATCCGAGTTGCATGCCATTCTTAATCTCATAATTAAGTTCGACTCCAAAGTTAGAGAAGCAAGAAATGGAAAGGAGCAAATTAATTTTGATATCAATCGTAGTTACATTGGTTTGTTGTTTGGGGGTTGTGCAGGGGTTCACATATGACGACAAGGAGGTTCATACGGAAGAGGGCAGGGAGGCTATGTTTGAAAGATGGAGGAGCCACCACAAGTTGGAGGAAATAAGCCTTGAAGCCAAAAGGAAACAGTACAACACGTTCAAGTCTAGACTGGAACATGTTCACAAGACAAACAAGGCCAACTTGGGATTTAAGTTAGAGCTGAACAGGTTTGCAGGGATGACTCGTGAGGAGATACAGAGCAAGTTTACTGGATTTAAGGGTGCCCCTCCCAATCCTTGCCCTGCAAAGGATGCTGGTTGTCCGGGTGGTGGTTGCCCAGCGGACAGTGGTTGCTGCCCAGGTGGTGGTTGCCCGGCAAAGGACGGCGGTTGCTGCCCAGGCGGTGGTTGCCCAGCAAAGGACGGTGGTTGCCCGGCCGGTGGTTGCCCAGCGGACAGTGGTTGCTGCCCGGGCGGTGGTTGCCCAGCAAAGGACGGCGGTTGTCCGGCCGGTGGTTGCCCAGCGGATAGTGGTTGCTGCCCGGGCGGTGGTTGCCCAGCAAAGGACGGCGGTTGCCCGGGCGGTGGTTGCCCAGCGGACAGTGGTTGCTGCCCGGGCGGTGGTTGCCCAGCAAAGGACGGCGGTTGCCCAGCAGATAGTGGTTGTTGCCCGGGCGGTGGTTGCCCAGCAAAGGACGGCGGTTGCCCAGCAGCGGACAGTGGTTGCTGCCCGGGCGGTGGTTGCCCAGCAAAGGACGGAGGTTGTCCGGCCGGTGGTTGCTGCCCAGGCGGTGGTTGCCCTGCAAAGGACGGTGGTTGCCCAGCCGGTGGTTGCCCAGCGGACAGTGGTTGCTGCCCTGGCGGTGGTTGCCCGGCAAAAGACGGCGGTTGCCCAGCAGACAGTGGTTGCTGCCCTGGCGGTGGTTGCCCAGCAAAGGACGGCGGTTGCCCGGCCGGTGGTTGCCCAACAGACAGTGGTTGCTGCCCGGGCGGCGGTTGCCCGGCAAAAGACGGCGGTTGCCCAGCGGACAGTGGTTGCTGCCCGGCAAAGGACGGCGGTTGCCCGGGCGGTGGTTGTCCAGCAAAGGACAGCGGTTGTGCGGGCGGCGGTTGCCCAGCGAATGATGGCGGTTGCTCTGGAGGCGGTTGCCCGGCAAAGGACAGCGGTTGCCCGGCAAAGGACAGCGGTTGCCCGGGTGGTGGATGCCCAGCAAAAGACACGAACACTATTTTCAAACCAATAGATAACACCGGCGGTGGTTGCCCGGCGAAGGACGGTGGTTGCCCGGGAGGCGGTTGCCCGGCAAAAGATGGCGGTTGCCCGGGAGGCGGTTGCCCGGGCGGCGGTTGCCCGGCGGCGGACGGAGGTTGCCCGGCGGCAGACGGAGGTTGCCCAGGCGGCGGTTGCTCGGCAAAGGACGGTGGTTGTTCGGGCGGCGGTTGCCCGGCAAAGGACGGTGGTTGTTCGGGCGGTGGTTGCCCGGCAAAGGACGGCGGTTGCCCGGCAAAGGATGGCGGTTGTGCGGGCGGTGGTTGCCCGGCAAAGGACGACGGTTGTGCGGGCGGTGGTTGCCCGGCAAAGGACGGCGGTTGCCCGGCAAAGGACGGTGGTTGTTCGGGCGGCGGTTGCCCGGCGAAGGACGATGGTTGTTCGGGCGGCGGTTGCCCGGCGAAGGACGATGGTTGTTCGGGCGGCGGTTGCCCGGCGAAGGACGGTGGTTGTTCGGGCGGCGGTTGCCCGGCGAAGGACGGTGGTTGCTCGGGTGGCAGTTGCCCGGCGAAGGATGGTGGTTGCTCGGGCGGCGGTTGCCCGGCGAAGGACGGCGGTTGCTCGGGTGGCGGTTGCCCGGCGAAGGACGGCGGTTGTCCAGGTGGCGGTTGCCCGGCGAAGGACGGCGGTTGCCCAGCGAAGGACGGTGGTTGTCCAGGTGGCGGTTGCCCAGCGAAGGACGGTGGTTGTCCAGGTGGTGGTTGCCCCGGGGGCAGTTGCCCGGCGAAGGACGGCGGTTGCTCGGGCGGTGGTTGCCCAGCAAAAGATGGCGGTTGCCCGGCAAAAGATGGCAGAGAGGCTACTGCAAGCAAGGACAACTGGTATTGGGATTTCAAGTATCGTAACGTCACTGACGTCCCTGCCGAGATGGACTGGAGAAACCATAATGCAGTTACCCGTGTCAAGAATCAAGGAATGTGTGGTACGTAACACCGGCCTACACTTTTTTTTAAATTCTTTTTGCAACTTACATAAACAAACGTGCATGGTTCTTTTCAATTAAAAAGAAAAAGCATGATAATTAATTAAGGATTTGATCGATGCATCGTTGAAATTTGTAATATTAAACGTACGTACTGCATGCAGGGAGTTGCTATGCATTTCCAACAGTGGATTCCGTTGAAGGAATCCATTCAATCGTAAATGGCGAGCTAATAGAATTATCACCAAAAGAAATTATCGACTGTGCTAATGTAGGCGGATGTAACGGAGGCTCACCTCAAGATTCTTTCAAATACATCGCCAATAATGGAGGTCTAACTACCGAGAAGAACTACCCTTACAAACCTGTAGTTGAGACTTGCACATTAGAAAAGGTAATGCATCGATATTAATTAGTTGTTGATTTCACGTGCATTTACTAATTATATTGAGGGATTAATTAAAATTTGCATGCATATGCATGTGTTTGTGTCAACTTTTTTCAATTATGACAGGCAAAAGATATCGCCGTAGAAATTCATGGATATCAAGACGTCCCCAGGGACGAAACTGATGAGCATCTATTGAAAGCAGTTGCACACCAACCTGTAGCTGTTTCAACGTCATGGGGAGATAATTTAGCGTTATATAAAGAGGTAACTCAAAACTCACATACATAATATGTATATTATTGTTACTTTAAAAACTAACAAATGCTACCTAGGTAGCACCACATTCTTTCATATTTTACTATATATATGGATGATAAGGTAACTAAGGTAAATAATTTAATAGGGAATTGTGCAAGGACCATGCGACACGACAGTTTTGCATTCAACGCTAGCAGTTGGATATGGTACAGACCCGGATGGAACCAAGTACTGGATATTGAAGAACTCGTGGGGAGAAGAGTGGGGAGACAAAGGATACTACAAACTCCACCGTGGAATTCCTGACAAGAAGGGAATGTGCGGCATAGCACAATTTGCTGCTTATCCTGTCATTGAAGCTGATAGTGGAATACATGCCTCACCTGGTGCAGTTGTTAAGGGTGTTAAAAAGCGCTAGACGTTCGTATGCCCAACTTAAGTTGGATGTGATTGTTTCTCCATTCTAAATAATCGGTTGCTGACGCGGATCCGATTCAGGCAACTCTACATTTTTTAGTATGTAATTCAACTATAAATTTGTACCCGTGCAAAGCGGTGATGACGAATAGTTTTTTTCGGCAATTCTTTTCGAAACATGTTATCTTACAAGGAAAACACAATATATTGGAAAATATAATTTACCATTTGTTTGTTAATTCTCTCCGAAAATCGAACCTACAAACAACTAAAGCAACATATAAAGAACCTCCAAATTAGCAACAAATTAGCAAACGTTGAATAATCTTCTATTGACGAATGATTTTTTTTTCCGATGATTTGCTATGTATATACTAATTGTAAATCTATGCAATGCATTGGTGGTCAATAGTTAATTTCCAGCAAATAGTTTCCTTTTGTATAGATTGATTTTTTTTGGTTAACCAAACATGAAAAATGTTCGGTTTTTGTTTAGTTACTGTTCATGTGTTTTCTATTACATAAATCATCTATGTAATTTGAGGCAATTTGCAAGTTTCATCCTTATTGTTCGTTATTTATTTGGATGGTCAATGTGGTTTATGGATTTGAGCCAATTTGCAAGTTTCATATGTATCGTTATTTTTATTTTTTCATTTGGATGGTCCATGTGGTTTTCTTTTGTTTTGATTTCCACTCTAAGTTGTATGTCGTTTGAAAGATTCGATTGATCTTCAGTAAAATGATGATTTTAGCCATAGCTTTATTTTCTAAATTTCTTTATTATATTTATTTTCATATGGGTTTGACCCTTAATAAAATGATAATTTTAGCCGTAGCTTATTTTCTAAATTTCTTTATTATATTTATTTTCATATGGGGTACGCTCAACAATCTCCCTTATAACTAATTATCCGAATGATTTCACTGGTAAATGACTAACATATTATAAAAAACAAAGAAATCTTGTTCAGATGAGCATCATTGAATTAACACATATATCAACTTCCAAAACAAGCAATTTAACTATGTGCTTAATAGCTACAAGTGTTCTAATCCAAATGAAGCAAAGAGAAATAACTAAATTGAACCACAATGCACCTACAAGATACAATCACCACACCATTTAACTAAACGACAACCACCATATATGTTTAAAAACCAGTAAGAATATAACCGATAATAAATTAGAATATTGGTTGCACTCTGCTTTGTAGCAGTTCATGCTGGTTATGTTACTACGTTGTTATAATGTTCTTATGGACTCCTACAGTGAATAAAACATCTAAGGTGTTGTTTTGATGTTTTTTTAACATATTAATGGAACACAATTTAATCTGGTAAACTACAAATGCGTGTTTCGTATGAATTAATAAAAAAAGAGACCGAATTCGAGCAACATTGCTAGTGAAAGGTAAATAGTCATTAAAATGTTAGAAATTTGGGTATAGAAAGGCTTGGAAATTTTGAGAATCGTGTTAAACATTTTCAGATTAAAGTATTTAGGTGATACTCCAAATATTCTTTAATCGGATAATACTCATAAAGACACGAACATAAATCCTCTACCTAGTTGTAATTAAGTATTCTGTAAGTAGTAGTTATCTTTATGCAAGGTTTGATTAGATAAGAATCAAAAAAATGGTTTATCAAAGTTTGTGTATTAATTAATAGTAGGCTTATGAAGTGGTTCATTCCATTCCTTGATTATGATTTCAATGGAATGGAATGAACCATTCCATTCCTTCTTTCAAGTTTTTGTTTTTTCATGTTTTTTTTGCTATAATAGGAGGCTTATGAAAGTGCTATGGTGGCTAAGTTTCGTGATGATACTAGTTACCACCCCCTTTTGGATAATGAAACATGGTGTGATGTTTCCGGAGGAGTCAAGAAAGGAAGAATATATGGATTCGGATCCGTGTCTGATCCAACGAGCTTTTTGGAAGGAACATCTAGTACAATAACATCCTAAAAGGTTCGTTTAATTCTTTACTTTATAAGTTTCCTATCATGGTATTGTACTTATAAATTTTCCTATCATGGCATTGTACTTTAGGTTGTCTATGAATGTGTACGAAACGAGATGCATGGGGAAATGGATGCTAAAGCTGTAGAAATGGAAGCTAAAAATCAACAAATGCGTTAGGAAATGGATGCCAAAGCTGCAACAATAGATGCCAAACAACAACAAATTGATGCAAAATATGAAGCAATGGAGAAGATGTACACAGCCTTGCAAAATATGATGTGAAATTGAAAATTAGAGGTAATATGATGTTAACCATTGGTATTTGATGTTTTTGAATGACTTGGTAACCTTTTGTATTCGATGATTTTGATTGTTTTGAATAATGTTTTATAGGAATGAGAACCGAAGATGATTGGATGAACATGAAATGAAGAGAGAAACTAACATGTTATTTTGAAGTTATGTTTTGTGAAAACTCATTTCCTGATGCTTATTTTGAAGGTTAAACTTTTTACTGTTTGTACCTCTTTTGCATACTTTGGATTTCTTGGTGTTAAAATATTCTCAACCATTGAGAGTTTGATGTTATGTTGATAGTTTTGTTTTTGGGTGCTTTTTGAATGATAGTTTGGTAAACTTTTATAGTTTTGGTATTATAATGTTTGGTTGTATCATTATTTGATGTTTTTTTGTATAATAATTTGATGATTGTAGTATTTTTTGTTTTAGAATCATAAAAAAAATGATATTACATGTTTGCGAAGCATCAGCAAGGGAAAAATAAATTAATGTATGAATTTTGCTAGGGATTAGCTATGGAAAAACATTCATGTCTAAAGTTTGCAACGGATCAACGACGGAAAAATAAATAAATTAATGTATGAGTTTTGCGAGGGATTAGCTATCGAAAAAAATCATGTCTAAAGTTTGCGACAAATCAACGGCGAAAAAAAATTAATGTATAAATTTTGCAAGGGATTAGCTACAAAAAAAAAAAAAAAGAAATTTGCTACAGAACAGCTACGTAAATTTTGTTGCCAATGCATGGAGTGACCATTTGGCGATGGATATTATGTCGCTAAAATTGTCGCAAGGAAAATTCGATCCGTCGCTAAAACACTCGCTAGGTCATTAGCCACGTTTTATATATCTATGGACTATATCCGTCGCTGATCCATCACAAACAACATTTAGTGATGGAATAGCAACAGATTTGTCCGTCTCTAAAACCCAAGTTTCTAGTAGTGCACCACTAGTGTTCACCACCGACATATGTTCCCTTTACTCCTTTCTCCCCCATGATAAACATTACTCCCATACCCTTACACCGTTCACTGTTCGCTTGCATTTTTATCACTCAACACAAACTCTACGCCTGGTGATGAAAAAGAACTTTCTCGGATGGCCACCGATGGCAAGGTGAGAACCCCTCTGATGGATATATCATAAAGCTTACGAACGATGTTTTGTTCTATTTGGTTTCCAATCGATACTTCTTCTATATGCATGGAACTATAACATGGATAAACGAAAACGAAACAAAAAATTAACAAAAAGCTGAGGCATGTGTTTAACACATTGTCCATAAAACAAATCTGCCCATTATTGGGTGTTTGTTTCCTAGGATACAACAGTTTGGAAAGATTCTTCAAGATCGTTGAACCTAAGAATGACTTGCATTTGACCTTCTATGTAGCAAGAAATGAGGCAAAAGTACTAGAATGTGAGGGATTTTCTTTCTTGAATTCTAGTCTCAAGTTCCATCAAATTGGCTGTAGAGTGATTGTATTATACTACACATTCTATAACTGCCCATTTATGATAAAATTAAACACCTTTATTACTCACATTATTAATATGTGTTTTGTAAATGAAATCATAATAAATTAATAGTTACGGAAAAAGATATAGTTTGCAAAAAGGTCCCTGAAATTTTCTTATTGTACATATAAGAAAGGGCTTTGATTTTCGCTTGAGAAAATAAACCAAAGTAAAGCATGAAAAATCATCTACAGTAACCAAATTATACTTCTTCTCATCAATTGGTTCAATTGTTGAAGGTCCACATAAATCAATATGGAGAAGCTCAAGTGGTTCAACAATCTTCGAGTTGATGGTTATTGGATGTCCTTGTCGATATTGCTTTCTGTAACACCGTAAATTTCAAGACAAAATTTTCATTTAAAATAATCATTTTACTCTTAGAAACACTTGTTTAAAATCTTATTCATAGTCGGTTTACAAAACATAACTCCATTTTCACTTGCATAGAAAACCAAGATCCTCCAAAATATGACTCTTTCTCTGGTGTGTACAATCAAGCCGGTGCCGTCCCGTGATACTGAAAGAAACCTGTAAAACATCAAACAAAACACTGTAAGCACGAAGCTTAGTGAGTTCCCCAAAATACCACACATAACACATATTAGCCACTCGAGGCTATAACTCTGTGGGTCCGTGCACCCAAACTCTGTGAACCCTCAGGTTCTAACTCTGGGAACCTTCTGGTTCCAACTCTATAAACATGCACAACATAAATCACATAGAAATAATGCAGTACAACACATCACGTACATATAGCATACAAATACTCTAATCACATAACTCTGGTTACCTACTCAAGGTAAAGTATAGTGAGAAGACTCACCTGGCAAGCAGAAAGCAGATATCCCCACACTTGAATCTCGAACTCGCCACCGCCTAACACGTAAGGCAAATACTCTCATGAATATAACTCTCGAGGCTAGAATAAATCCTCTCATAACACCCTCTTATGGGTAAAAGACTATTTTACCTCTCTCTTGGCCCAAAGGCCACATCGCTGTCCAAACCCTAAAACTCAACGGCCAACCCTTGGTCGAAATCAAAGTCCTCAGTCTAGGTCAACCCTTGACTGACTCTACTCGCCGAGTCAACCCTGTGACTCGTCGAGTTCCCATAATCAGAACTTCCCCATATCGCGACTCAACTCGTCGAGTCACCACGAGACTCGCCGAGTCCCACAACTCTGAGTCCACTCACACCCAACTCACCGAGTCATCCCTTGACTCACCGATTCTCGACTCAACCAGGAAATATTTGGGACTCTTCGTCAAGACTCGTCGAGTCCAAGAACAGACTCGCCGAGTCTACGGCTATCTTCAACCTACTCGCCGAGTTGTTCATACAACTCGCCGAGTTCCAGGCCATCTTCATCCAACTCGTCGAGTCCACCCATGTGACTCGCCGAGTACCGCCGGTCTGAATACATTCCGAAGC